ACACCACTCCACATTTCATAATTATGATTAATGTACACTTGGCTGTTTTATGAGCTTTGTCCACTGATTTGACAGGGATAGCCAGTAATATTGTATGTTGTGGGATACTCTTTTTCTTATTTTCTTTATGCTAGAAAGTATGCTGTTGACCAATTGCAATGTATATTTATGCAATCAAGTTATGTATGGACTGGATGTCAACTAGTTGCATCTTTTCAAGGTTGGCTCTACCAGGAAGCAGATTGCTGTCGCTTATGGACAGAAAGGTGGGAAGGATAATCTAGCCATCCTAGAAAATTTGGTAACCACAAGTGCCCATCTCCACTGTAACTTCATAGCAATTGGTGTTTTCTATCGCTGATTTCACCTTATCTCACAGCGTCTGTTACATTTGATTATTTTGCAAGTGTAGGCAGGAACCCTGGAACTGACATGTTGCAGTTTCATCTTCTATGTTTATTCAGGTTCAGCTAAGACACAAGTTTGCTAGATTACTGGGGTACACCAACTATGCTGATTTTGCTATTGAGCCCAGAATGCCAAGAACTTCAAGGAAGGTTTGTGCTTTTCTGCTAGGAAATCTGCTTGATTATTTCGTTTTAGCTAAATCTGCTTGGTGAAACACGTTTTTCAATATCAAACTTGGTAAAAAAATTTCAATCCTGGTCTAGTCAGCTCGCTGGCAAAATGTTGTTTCATGCTTTTCTTTCACGCTAGGAAAATAACAGATGTCAAAGTGTTTTCTCCTGCAGGTCTTAGAGTTTTTGGAAGAGATGTCAGAACAATTAAGTGATGTAGCTAATAGAGAGCTCAGCTTACTCAAAGACCTTAAGGTTTTATGAAAGCTCCTTTTTGCTCTGCTAATTTTTCCATCGATCGAACTCTTTCATTACTAATCAAATTATTGCTAACGATTTTCTGATTTCAGATCAAGGAGGAAGGAAATGCTCAGTTCGGAATGGAAGATTTATTGTACTACATCAAAAGAGCTGAAGAATTCAAGGTTGATCTTGACATTGGTGAAATTAAACAATACTTCCCTGTTAGCCTGGTCATATCTGGAATGTTGAAGATGTTTCAGGATCTATTTGGTAAAATGTTAGCCATGAACTAATGCACTAGAAACCTCTATTTTTATAAGGTATGAGCACAGATGTATTTTCTGCTAATTCTTTTTTTTTTCTTTCATGAAGCACTACGATTTGATGAAATTAAGGATGTGGATGTTTGGCATGATACAGTTCGTGTGTTTTCTGTTTGGGATGCAAGTTCAAGTGATCTTTTGGGTTACTTTTTTCTCGATATCTTTGCCAGGTTTGTTCTGAAAGCATGCTAGCGAAGCTTGAATGATTTTCAAGGTTTCATGATATGTAAAACATGTTTGATGATTAGCTAGAAATGCTGAAAGTCCATTGGTTTTCATACAAGAAATACATTACAAGTTGCTCTCGCTGCCTTTTCTTTCGCCCTGTTCATCATAATTGACAAAATTTATATTAGGGAATCCAACATTTGCAAGGAGAAAATAGACTCAATAATGCAGATGCAAAACACATTAAGGAACACCACATAAGACACCATTCCAGTACACATAAAACAGGGTTATTTAATTGGCTACCCTATTTTGCTTCAAAGGAAGGGAAGTATACCCACACTTGCGTTGTGACACTTCAGAATGGATGCTTGTGTTCTAATGGTACAGCGTAAGGTAACTCAAAATCTCATGCATATTATACAGTGCAATCAGAGTATGAATTTCTTGTTAGAATCACTGTAATTCAAATGATTAAATTAACATTCTCTTGTAACCACAAAGGTTTTATATTGAAGCAAATTTAACAGGTGATCTAATACAATCAAATTGTTAATTAAAAGGTCAAAGTACTTGTTCTCTCACATACTCACAATATCTATAATCTTTGGGAAGTACTTCTGTAGCCTGCTTGAGTGGTTAATTATTCATGGTGTAATTATTGGTTGGTTGCTGAGTGCTTACAGGTTCCGGCTGCTGTGATATTATCTCAATGTCCAAAAGAGCTTGATGGGAATTCAGCATTACTGCGGTTCCCTGAAGTCGTGAGGCTATTCCATGAATTTAGCCATGTGGTATTGATATCAATTTTCTCTATTGGATTCTGACAAAGTATAAATATCCTGGCATTTGTTGACACTAAATGAATAGATGTACTGATTTCATTATCCTGCAGGTCCATCACGTATCCAACAGAGCCACCTTTTCAAGATTTTCAGGTCTTCGACTGGAGGGTGACTTCACTGAAATTCCAAGCCTACTACTCGAGAATTGGTAGGCATAATTCTTTTCTTCAGTAATGTACCGATTACCAACACTTGTTTAATCCATTGGAAGCTGATGTTTCTGATATGTAAAGCAACCTTATCATCTCAGGTGCGATGAGAGTATTTCTCTGAAAATGATGTCCGGCTTCCATCAGGTGGTGCAAATTTAGCATATGATGTTTACGTGTTGGCATTATTATCCTACCTTGCATATTTTCAAGGAAAAAAAATAAAGATGTAAGAGAAATGGTCACTGGTCAGTCTAGTAGATGGAACTAATTTCATGAATAAAAACAAAATATTTGTGACCTTGCATGGGTGAAGAATCCTTGGTTACTGAGTAATCAGGATATGATCTGGAGACCAACACTTATGTTTTTCCGAGTGAACTTAATGACACACCAAAAACATGTTAATGTTGTATTGCGATAATTATTTGATACTTTTATAAGTTCTTGTGAGCCATCTGAGACTTGTTTAAATTAGTGCTAAAATTTTTCTCTGTTTTTATTATTGTTATGTTGTAGGACATTACAAAATCCATAACCAGTGAAGCTTGCCAATCTCTGAAAAGAAGGCGTGATTTATTTACTGGCCTGAAAATGAAACAAGAGATCCTTTTGTGTGAGTCATTTTGCTACCTACCAAATGAAATAGAGTGAGAGTATTGTTCCTCAAATGTGTTATCTAGCTCTGAAACTCCAACAAAATGTAATGAGGTTGTGTCCTACTACTGTTTGACTGACACCAGCCACCTGAATTTGGCTGTCTTTTCTTGTCCTCATCACTTCATTCTCTTACTTTAGTGAACAGTATATATATTAACTATCTGCCCAATCTCTGTTCTGCTAGTAGATACTGGTAACACAAATTACTCCTTTTTTCCCACCTGTTCTCTGAAACAAGATCCTACTGTTAATTTGTCCGGCAAAACCAACCTAATTGGTACTTGTCAATTATAGACAGCTTGATTTGTATCCTATTGTTATCTCATGTTTATTAATTAGTAAGAAATTTGAATTCAATGTAGTAAATTATGTATTGTTTCACTTTTACTAGGCCTTGTTGATCAGATAATACATTCAAGTGAGGATGTGGACATTGATGACTTAATCAAGGATCTTCATCCCAAGGTACACTTGGAATGACTGCTTTACCGTCTCTATCACTCCCTCCATTTCAAATTATAGGTTGTTTTGGTTTTTTATATATCTAGACATAATGTATATCTGAGTGCATAGCAAAAACTATGTACCTAGAAAAGGCAAAACGACTTATAATTTGGGATGGAGGAAGTACTTATGATGACCAATTAAGGCAAATGTCCCTTTTCCAGGTAATGCTGGGTATACCTTTATTGGAAGGGACCAGTCCAGCTTCATGTTTTCCTCGTATTGTTTTTGGCTATGATGCTGTGTGCTACAGTTACATATGGAGTGAGGTTTGATCAATACAAATCCTAAGCCATATTGCTTCCATCATATATTTGGAGAGAGTAGAATAACACTTTCTCTGAACTATGCAGGTGTTTGCTGCAGATCTTTTTGTATCAAAATTTAAAGACGACTTGCTCAATCAGCATGCTGGATTGCGGTTCAGAAATAAGGTAATTGCTAATTGCTAATGTGCCCTCCTTGCATGCTCATGTGAATTGTTACAAAATGCTTACGTCACTGCAGGTGTTGGCTCCAGGAGGCTCAAAAGATCCCCTGGAGATTATAACGGACTACCTAGGAAGAGAACCATCACTCCAACCTTTTATTCAGAGCAGAAAAAGGAATAGTTTGTGAGGGATCATTTATGATGTAACCATTAGAGTTTTTTCTTTTTTGAATGTAGCTATTGAAGGTCAGCTTATTGTCGTGAGTTCTTTCTTTCTTTTTTTTTCATAAGATAAGAGATTTCGGACATCATTTGTTTGACCCTTTAGTTAAGCTGGAATACAAAAGATGTCCCTAGATTCTGCTCGGACCATCTTTTCCTAACCTTAGCATACTTTCAAGCTTTCAGCTAATGCCCCTGAGCACGTGAATCAAGTAAGATTGTACAGGAAGTTAGAAATAAGAACTTGAACTTCAAGTCTGTTGGTGTAAGCACGAAGCACGTCTTTTAAAGGTTTTGCTTTAAGAAGACTGGAAATTAAAGTTAATAACTGGATGAAAACTTGGCATACACACAAAACTCACTTTCATTAAACATTTACGAAGCTTACAGAACGAGGAATAATACCAGACTTTAGTGCACACCAATATAGGTAATACCGTAATAAAACCTCATGGAAATGCAAAATACAGAATTCAACAAAAAAAGATGCACCTGATATACGCCACATGGAACAATATGAACGATCAGGTTACATGTTGTGTGGAGCTCAAGTGCTCAATGCTTCACAACTGGGACCACTGAGATTGATATTTCTTCTAAAAAAATGGTAACCTCAAGCACCAGTAATTCCATAATACACAAAGGGCACAAAAGGAATGAAAGAATTGAGCTCTACAAGGGGAAGAGTAACTTTTGATTACAGTCTACAACTATGCACACTACATTCTTCCACAAAAATCACTGAAGGATTCAGTACTCGCATTAAGCTAACTGGTTACTTGACTGTAATCCAGCATCCCTCTTTGCACCAGTTGAAAAGAACACGTTGATGCTTCCCTGTAAAGGGCCTATTTCACAATGCATGATTTTTGCTACAGCTAATATGAGAACTCGTGCCCTCGGAGGGAGATATATTTCTTCATCCATATGGCAATATCCTTGGCACAGGCATGTGCTTGTGGTGTTTTTAGGAACACATCCAGGGTTGCAAACTCGTGAACTGTATCCTTGTAGTCAAGAACCGGCGAGTGAACATTAACCTTGCGGAGTTCCTCAGAGTAAGCGATTGCTCGATCCCTCATCCAGTCATGCTCGGCAATAACTGTCAAGGTCGGCGGCATGCACTTCAGTGGGGGGCCTCCTCTGCCAGGCGCCAGAGGGTTGGCAGCAGGGTGGTCTAGGTTGAACTCTTTCTCTGACAAAAATAATCTCCAAGCAAGTAAACATGTGGACTTGTCATAGAAGTATGAGTTCGCAAGCCTTATTTCCGAGTGTGTCGGAACACTCCCTATGAAAAAGGGATACATCAGAACTTGTGCAACAACCTTAACTGGGTCAAATGGTTTCCCATCTTCGACCACCTTCCGAGTGACATAATCAGCAATATTTGCACCACAGCTTGCACCAAGTAGAACACATCTGCACCAAGGAACACATGATAGTCAAATTCCAGTAAACCAATATAAAACAGTTAGCACAAAAAGGAACTTCAACAGCTGGTAAACCAATATAAAACAGTTAGCACAAAAAGGAACTTCAACAGCTGACTGGATGAAGTAGCTAGCAATGGCATAAACGTTAATATGAACCAAAAGAGTCACAAGAGTGGATACAGGAAAACGGTAACTCATTGATCCAAAGAAAGCAGAATTTAAGGGATTTGCTCAAGTGAAGCTCCCTTATATATGGTGTTATGCAAACACAGTGACGGTGTTTCGAGTAAACACCAACGAGTAAATTTGTATTATTACACGTTTGGCTTGGATGGTGTGTTAAGAGGACACAAGGATTATACTGGTTCGGGCCGAATGTCCCTACGTCCAGTTTCGGGCTGCTCGTGTTACCAGCACTGAGTTTGTAGTATGGAGTTACAAACTGGCGAGAGAGGGACATGTTCCAAGTCTCTGGTGAAAAGATCGAATGAGCGCCGAGAGCTCGGTCGCTGCTCAGCTGTGTGTTCGAGGATCGATGCTCGTAGTTCTGATGCGACGTGGTGTGATATGCGATGCCCCTTAGTGGGACGCCCTACTTTTCCTTTTATAAGCCAAGCGAAAGCAGGAGTTACAACCAAAGGGAAGATGACAAAAGAAAGAGAAATAAGGCTCCCGGAGGTGTGCCGTCCTCCTCTTCGCGTGGGGTCCCACTGACCCTGTAGATCGTGGTGGCAGCGGCGTCGTACCGGGGTCTTGTTGCCCGCTGCAGCTTACGTACGGGCGTCGTGCGCCGTTCTTGTCTTCCGTCCCATCCGAGCGGACGGAATGGTCAGAGAGTCCCCTGACAGAGGCCATATGGGGGGCTGGCAGTATAGTGCCGATCAAGCGACACCGGTCGGTCGACGTTGGGACGGTGGTCAGCAGGAGTTGGCAAGATGGTGACCACTCGTCCGCTATCTGATGGCGATGTGAGTTCCCGGAATGACATGTTGTGGGGACGTGTCGTCTTTGAGATGTGACCGCCTCGCATGATGCCGAAGTTTGACCTTGAGTAGTACTCGGCTTGTAGTGGTTGGCGCGACGTGAGCCTTCGTTAGGAACCGTGTCCACGGGATCGGCGAGTGGAACCAGACCCTCGGGCGTCGGCAAAAGGCGGAACCGACCCTCGAGAGCCAAAGCGGAATCGGCCCTCGACGCGTGACGACGGCGGAGCCAACCCTCGGGGGTCGGACGAGACTGAGCCAACCCTTGGAAGTCAGCCGAGGTGGAGCCGACCCTCGGGGGTCGGGCGAGGCGGAGTCCGCGGCCTCAATGTCCACCGAGGCGGAGCCAACCCTCGGGGGACAAACGAGGCGGAGCTCATGTCCTTGGTGGTCAGTTGAGGTCGAGCTCAGCAAGAGGTGTAGTCGCACTCTTGACCGCTCGGATGAATCAACATTGATGGTTATTAGCTCCTCCTCTTCGGGTACCTGAGTATTGGTCCCCGATAGTAGCCCCCGAGCCCTCGGGCGATTCGGGTAGAATCACCTGAGGGTTTTTTCGACTTGCTAGTGGGTGCGTGCGAGCGCACCCAGTGGGTGTAGCCCCCGAGCCTGCGAGGAGTAGAATACTCCTTCGGAGCTTTTTCGAAAGGGAGGACTCTGAGGGCCCTGGCCTTCTTTTGTCGCCCACAGCGTGTCCTGGGAACGGTGATTCCTTCTTGCCGAGGTCGAACCCTTTGCGGGTATGGCCGTGAGATTTGGTGGTTCGTTAGCTGGATAGTTCGATTGGGGTCCTGGCATTCTGTTTCGCAGGGATCCGGCTAGGGTCAGCCTGGTTGACACTCGATCGTGGACCGAGATGCCCGTGGCGCTTGTGCGCCTGGGTACTGGCCGCTTACGGTACTCATCCCTTTTCATCCCTTATCGTAAGGGTGCCTGGATCGGCTGTCGAACCCGTTGATGGGCCTACCGTCAAACTCCTGGGCCCAGACGGGCTGTAGAGGTGTTTTTTTTATCCGTATTCCTCTTACTCACAACGAGTCGTGGCCCGCCCGAGGAGGTGAAACGTTCAGCGAGTCTTTCGAGGGAAAGGATAGGGATTGCGTGCGCATATCCCGCGGCGTGACGTTGTGGTAGATCATGGTAGGTGCAGAGATCTAGGCGGATGGTTGGTTTCCTCGCATCTGTCGCCCTATAAAACCAAAGGGTTCGCCCCCGGGGTTTCATACCTTGCCTTCTTGCCTTGGCATCTGCAACCTCTGCCACCAATCGCCTAGGCTTCCTTCATCCGTGTCCTAGCCGCCGTCGAGCTCACATCCACCCATCCCCATCTTCCAATGGATCTGTGGTGCCGCTCTGACATCACCTTCCAGCGCATGGAGAGCCTCATCCATCGCGATCTTCTCTGCGCGGACCACAGCCGAGGAGTGGCTGCTGCCCGACGAGGAGGACATGCCATCATCGCCCGACGGCTACGTGGTGTCATTCACGTACTTCCATGAGCATGGGTTCGCTACCCCTACTCACGGATTTCTTCGGGGGCTGCTGCACTACTACAAGATTGAGCTGCAGCACCTAAATCCCAACGAAATCCAGCACATGGAGGCGTTCGTCGCCCTGTGTGAGGGATTTCTGGGGATTAGTCCCCACTTCGATCTATGGCGGTACTTCTTCACCGTCGCCCTCCAGAAGAAGAGGGAAAAGAGCAACAAGTAGGAGTTGCATACACCGATGGGATGCGCCGGCATCCACCTCTGGATCAACCGGGGCGGTGAGTACCCAGCGATGCGGCTGTTGACCTCCAACAAAGGGTGGCATTCGCAGTGGTTTTATCTCAAGAACGACGCTGTGGCCCCCTTGCCGGAGTTCACCGGGCGCCTAATCAAAGAGGCCCCAGATTCGTGGAGGAAGTGGGGTGTCCCGGAGAAGGACAAGAAGAAGATCCAGGACCACCTCGCCGCCATCGGCATCCTAAAGGAGAGGGGCCTGAAGGGGTCGGGCATCATCGGGGCCTACCACGCGAGGAGGGTTGCGCCGCTGATGAGGCACGCGCTTCCGCACACCATCTTCGTAAGTTTCTATCCTCATGCCTCCTCTTCAATTGATCTCTTGACCCCCTGACACTAACATTGAGATGGGGGGACCAGCCGAGGGACCTCATCCTCATGGATCACCCGGCTCCGCTGCCGAGGGATTCGTCTGTGAGGGTGGCGAAATGTGCCGAGGGTGAGTGGCTTAGGAAGGCGAAGGAGGACAAGAGGAAGAAAAGGCAGTGGAAGCTGCTTGTGCGGGAGCGAGGGGAGGACACCGACAACGATGACGACGATGATGAGGAAGACGACGACAAGGTAGTTGACGACATCGAGCGGGATGATCTGGAGAGCGAGGATGTGCTGACGGGTATCCACTCATCTTTGTAGGAGTTGGGGCCCTTCCTGTTCCATGGAGGGGAGGGTGCGTCCGTGGGGCCGATAGAGACAGGCCAGACCATCGGCCTGCCCTAGGAGCCAATAGGGGCGGGCGAATCTGCCGTCACGCCTGAGGTGCCAGTGGAGGTGGGTGGCTCCGCCGTCGTGCCCTAAGATGCAAGGGGAGCGAGCCCCTCTGCCTAGGAGTAGGGGGTGGGCTCGAAATGGCCCCGCCCCAACGAGGTGGAGCAGGGGTCTGGGGGTTCGTCCCCCAAACATATCCGCTGCTTCAACAACGCCAATGTAAGTCACCAGCTCCTCTGTTTTTCTCTATTTTCATCGTGATTTATGCTTTTCTTTCTTCACAGTGTCGTGAAGCGGCATAATCCTTTGGCGTTGACACCAAAGAAGAGCGTCGCCCTTCAAGCAGGGAGGCAGACGTCGGTTGGCGCCACGTCCGTTTCAGGCAGGAGCGGCGCTGGTGTGACTGTGTCGCTGGCCGGTCAGGCGCCACCCATGGTGACGCCCGTGCCCTCAGCAGGACAAGCGGGCGTAGGGGCTCAAGGGACGCCCTCGGATGTCGCCAAGCAGCCGGTGATGGAGGCGATACCGCTGCCGATGATGGGGCGGACGGAGCTACCTTTCATGCTGGTGGCGCCGGCCGCGGTGGGCGCGACGTAGGCGGTCGAGGTCCCACCGACGCAGGCAAAGGTGGTGGTGGCTATGACAGGCAGGCCACAGCCGGACGCAACCGTGGCGGCACCCGAGGCAGTATCGCAACCCACGCCACCGACGGCCCAAGCGACGGCGCTCGATGTGGGCCGGACGGAGGGGGATGCGGCCGAGGGGTCTCCGGACATCGTGGTGGTGGCAGAGAGGACCGGCGGGGAATTGTCCTTGGCCATGACATCAGGAGGCAGCCACTCGCCCGTGCGGGGTGAACCCCCTGCTCCGGTGGACAAATCCAGAGGGCCCGGCGTCGACGCTCTTCACCCTCGATGACGCCGCCGAGAGCATGGAGAGGGAGAGCCTCGACGTGGGAGTCACGTCCATGTTAGAAGCTCTAGACCATGCCCAGGGTGCCTTGGCCGACATTGTCATTCCCGCTAGCCGCGTACTTGCTTGATCCTGCTGCTCGCTTTTTCCTTTCTACGCATATTCTTGTATTCTGACCATCGTCTTCTTTCAGTCCCTTATTGCTCGTAGCAGGGGGAAGTCGTGGATCCTTCATGAGCAGAAGGGAACCTAGGACCGCCTCATCGAGGAGGCGCGGCTACGTGGGGAGGTGACAGCCTAGCTTGCTGCCACCTAGCAGAAGGTGGCCGAGCTGACTCCCGTTGCCAAGGAGGTGAACAGTCTCTGATTGCGGGTGGCCGAGGCCCGTCGGCATGCGGACGAGGCTGAGAGGGCATTTGAGGCTCTGTCGGTGAGGTCACGGAATGACAACGAGGAGGCCACCAAGGTTAGGAGGGAGAGGGACGAGCTGCTCCAGAAGGACGCCAAGACCCGTTAGTGGATCTTCGACCTTCTGGCTGAGGTTGAGAAGGAGCGGGAGCTAAAGCTATGGGCCGAGGAGAAGCTCACGGATGTGGAGAAGA